GAAGTGTTCACCAAAGCAGATTTTCTGCAGACACTGTGGTTCGTCATCCAGCGACTTCTGCATCCACGTGCATCTGGCGAGTTGACGGCTCTGCGTTGCCTCCATCTGCGTTGTGAACACGTGTTCGCTGGCTCTGACGGACGCCTTCCAAAACGTTCCTTGGCAGAAATATGCGGTTGTCCGTTTGCCTCCGTGTACTCTATGTACCGATGTATATACATCTGTGTATAATCTAGGCTCATGAGAGGAAACTTGATCTTTTCCGGCTTAAATATAAATATACACGCATCTACCCAGTGTCTTTCCCGGACTGAAGGGCATCTGTCCTTGCGTGCATCAAGGAGTCCATCGAAGTGGTGTTGCAGAATGTCTGGGTGACGGAAGTGACCGGGTGGCCAGTCTATACTCCTTGTAGTGAGTGTCACACCAAGATCGATCCAGAGAGTGGTGAGTGCAAGAAGAAGAGCACTGGGTGCGCGTCCACCCCTGCATCGGAAGTCAAGGTCCTGGCGACTCTGAATCTGAGCGACCCAACCGGTTGCGTGGAGAAGGTTTTGGCCGATGAGGAAGCTCTGTGCGTCATGACCAACATCAAACTGGAGGAGAAGGCCAAGCTGGTGAAAATGTTGGAAAGGCATGGGGTGCAATTTCTTTGTTTTCGTCAACCCGTGGATGTCCGTTTAGGGACGGCCCCATACATGACAAAGAGTCGCAGGGATAAGGGCGCGGCACTTGGAACGCAAGACACAGAAACGCAGACGGTCTTTGCTGCGGAGAGTCAGTTTCAAGTCTTAGCTGCCAAGCCGTGCTTTGCCGTGGGCTTCAAGGATGATGAGCGACCCTCGCTGCGGAAAATTCTCAGTCACGGACAGCAGCAGCTGGTGAACTGTGTTTATCCCATCAAGTGCGTCTACCAAGATGTGAGTTACTCCAGCTTGGGCATCATCGTCAACGATGCCCCAATTCATCCGAGCTATGTCAGCATTGTGGCAAAGGCTTGGAGCGAACCGACACCCCAGCCGATTGGACAGGGCGAAAACCAGCATGTCTTGATGGTGCATGAGGAGGTCACCCCATACCCCAATGGTAGCAAGTTCCGAGTGGAAGCTGTCTGCAGCATTGCAGAATGTCACATCTTCAACATGGGCAACCTGGAGCCTCGACTACTCGTCGGTCGCTTGACGCGGGACGGCAAGGAAGGACAGGTCACTCTGTTGGCAGAAAGGGCTTTTCCATGCACCAGTGAACAAGCCCAGGTTTTGGACCAAGAGCGCGATGCCATTGGGCACTGGTCAGAGGGAACCCAGATCCACACGGTTTCGAAGAAGCGGCCAGCGGACGACTTGGTGACTCCAACACCGTTGAAGAGAATGTCGGGCGCATGGGCTGCTCCTTGAAAGACTTTGTGAGTGATGCCAGCAGCCGCTATCGATGACCAACACCGTAGAATGGATGCACGACCGAAAGTTGTTCGAAGTCCATCCATCGGTGACTATGCTTGGAACGGTTGCGTGTAGCGTAGCTGGTTGTTTTGACTGCATATCCATGCCGTTGTTCTTCGTACATGACTGTTTGTCTATAAGCCCTCCATCTAGTAGTGTTCGAAACAGACAGCGGATGCGTGACCGGGAAATAGAAGCTGGATGCGTGACCGGGAGTTGTCCGAAACCCATCCGAAGTAAGTGTCTTTACTTCCCTCGGACATGGATATGCAGACTGTAATGTATGCATCTTGTCTTTGTGCTATCCAACTGCTCTGAGGCTTGCCAGGCTGATCGATGTACTCAAATGCCTTGCTGGAGCCTGCATGATGCCTGTGGGCGAGGTGGGGTTGCGTCAAAACACAGATTGTCGTGGAACTCATGCATGCAAGTTTTGTCGTCGTGTTTTGTACTTGTCTTTGTGGCTGGAATTGCTTGTGCCTCCATGACTGTTGTGATATTTAAGTCGTATAGATAGTTATGTATGTGGCGATGCTGTCTGGACACACGCTGTGCCATCGCAGGGACGGCATTGCTCTCATGGTTGCAAGTTATCCGCAGCTTTGAAGACGAATTATTAGATCGTCCATTCCCTGCTTTGCGTCATGACAGACCTCCTACCGTGGAATTCCGAGGTTCGGAGCTGGGTAAATGCATGTGAACGGAAAATTCAAACGGCATACTCTCGCCTGCCATGGAAGCCGCTGGACTGGAAGACACACAGTCATGACTACAATTTTGGAGATATCACTGCCTGGCCACTGGATGCCAGCTGCATTACCTTGGGAGGGGATACCATCTTCCTCGGTAGTGTCAAAGCGGCTGTCAACATTGAAGCGGTGGAGGTGGAGTACACGACAAAGATCTCCCATGTCGTGACCCTGTGTGGGAACGAGATCCAGGTGCGCGGCGCGCCGTCAGATTTGCCCACCTATTTTGAACGTTGCGGCGTCGCTCATATCTGGTGGTTCATCGAGGATCCCACAGTCAAAGACCCAAATACAGAGCTGGCGAAGCATCGTCAGTCTGCCGGTGAATGTTTAGCTTTCTGGAAAGATTTGATGCATGTTCTTTGGGATGTGGCCTCCTACTACTGGAACCACGACATCAGGTTTACGCCTTTGTTTCATTGCTTTGGAGGCATCAATCGCAGTACCGCCGCGCTTTGCGCCTGGCTGGTGATCTGGTGGGATCTCAGTGTCGAGGATGCCATTGACTGTGTGCTCCAGCAGCGTCCAAGCCTGAGACCGTGGAAGCGACGAGCATATGTCTTGTATGCACTGCGATCCTTGGAGCATCACAAGCATGCCTGGCGTTGGGAATTTGAAACGTCGTGACCAAAGTGTCGACAAAAAGCTGTGAATTCGTGGCCAAACTGGCTAGAAGGACCTGGGTCCACGACCGGAAGTTGTTCGAAGTCGGCCCTTGTTCCGACTGAATGTGCAGAGACCCCATGAGGAACGGGATCCACGACCGAGAGTTGTTCGAAGTCGATCCTGTTCCGACTGGGTGCGCGAATATACTTGATAACCGATAAAATTGTGCAAACAGAGCTCTATAGACATCTTTTTTTTGTTCGATTGTTGGACTTGAATGATATTCTTTGCTTGTTGTGATTTGACCTGAAAGACCAGTTTCGTTTCCAGAGACATTGAGTCTTTTGAACAGGTTGAGCGGCAACAAGTGGGACCAAATGAAAGTGGACACCACGCAATGGAATTCCAGGAGGCCGGCATGTCGATGCCACATATAGTCACCAGCCACGAAGTTACAAGTATCGGCGAAAAGCTGTGAATTGGCTATTGCAAAGTGTCGTGACCAAACTGATTAGAAGGACCTGGGTCCACGACCGGAAGTTGTCCGAAGTCGACCCTTGTTCCAGCTGAACGTGCAGAGACTCCACAAGGCACGAGATCCACGACCGAGAGTTGTTCGAAGTCGATCCTGTTCCGACTGGGTGTGCAACTATATCTGATAACCGACAAAACAACATGAGTTGAACTGTGGGTAATTTGTTTTGTTTTTCAAGTGTTGCATTTGTATGAGCATTGGTTGTCCTGATGCCAGGTTGGGACGTGCGATTTCGCACACTTCGGCGGCTCTTACTACCGGGACTAGCGTTTGAGCTCGACCGGCGCTGGATAAAAAAGAATCGACCGGGACTACCGTTTGGGCTCCGAAGTACAGTGCAACAGAATATACATTAATAGATTTGGTAATAACGTGATAATAGTATCATAATCATAATGTATATATATATAGATATATATATATATATTATATATTGTGTCATCTCATCATCATCTCATTTTGTTTCATCTTAATGTTTTGAATCATCATATATCATCTCTTCATTTCTTTAGTGCTCATTCATCTTCTGTTACTTCGCTTTTCTTCCCTTCTATTTGTTCTCTTCCGCCTACTTGCTTTCGGGCCACCCTGTCGTCTAGTTATTTTTATTAGGTTGGGTAACACTTTGTTGAAGCGTTGCGCCAGTCTAAGCAAATGT